TAATAACGTTGTCCTGGTATGTAAGAGATGGGTCACCATAGAGAAGTTTATGAAGGTTTATGCTGAAGTCTTGCAAGTTAAGAAGGAGTGTTCTGCGGACGGCATCGTATGCACAGCAGTCGAAAAAGAAATGTTGGGTAGTTTCAATTTGCCCACAATTACACAAAGGGGTAAGAGAAATGTTTTTCAAAAACAGGTGGTGATTTAATGCGCTGCAGTTCGTTCGAAGCCGAGTGTGAAGGACCTGCAGTTTACGACTACCTGTATAAAAGTATGTTGGTGTATATTTTCTGTCCTTGTTTAAGAAAGTTTTAAATGAAGATATTGTAGGGCTGTTTCGTATTATAACAGGCAAGTTGTTCCAATCACGAATAACTGATGGCAAGAAAGAATTGTGGTACAGAGTAGTCCTTGATGTAATTCCTCTGATATCTTCAGAGTTTCGTAAGCTGTATCGGGATTGATCTGGATTTGGTATTAATGATGAGAGATAATCTGGAGTTTTGTTCGACTGCATATTGTGAAACATAATTAGTTTATGTTTATATCTTCTTTCGGATAACGATTCCCAATTAATTTCTTTCTGCAAAGTTTCTAGTGAGATAAGCTTGGTTGCACCAGCTGCAATGCGTGCACATTCATTTTGAATCTTATCAAGCTGTTCGAGTTCATATTGGGTACAATTACACCAAATTACATCACCGTATTCCAAAATAGGTCTAATGAATGCTATATAGATAATTTCCAAAGATTTACGATCCAGAGAGAATTTCAGTTTACGCATTATATTAACCCTTTTCCAAGCTTTATCAGTTATGTATTCAATATGTTTGTGCCATGTGCAGTCAGAAGAAAGAAAGATGCCTAAATGTTTGTGTTCAGAAACTTCTGGAATTTGTTGGTTAAACATATGCAATGCAGGGTGATGCTGACGATTTCGCTTTCTGGTTACAAGTAGGGATTCCGATTTTGAAGGATTGAAGGTGACTAGCCACCTTTCTGCCCATAAAGAGATTTTTTGGATGTCAGACTGAAGAAGAGTGGCTGCTGTGTTAGGATGTTCAACTATAACATAAAGACTGGTATCATCAGCAAAAAGGTTTATGAAAGATTCAATTTCATTAACAATATCATTTATAAAGATCAAAAATAATAGGGGACCAAGTATAGAGCCTTGAGGGACTCCTGCTTTGACAAAAGCCCATGATGAGTAGGCGCCAGGTAGTATGACCCTTTGTTTTCTATCAGTAAGGTAACTATTGAACCAAGATAACAAAGATCCACATATACCTGCGTGCTTTAGTTTCGAAAGTAGGCCTTTATGCCAAACCTTGTCAAACGCTTTACTGATATCAAAGGAAACCACACGAACTTCGAGGCCATTGTCAAGTGATCTACAAAGGGTATCATAAATGAAAGCAAGCTGATTAACTGTAGAATCACCCGGGATAAAACCAGACTGAGCAGTAGACAGAAAATTATTTACTTTGAGAAAGTTAAAGATGTGTTTAAATACAAGACGTTCAAAAACGTTTTCTGTCGTGTTCAAAAGTGATATAGGTCTATAGTTATTTGGGAGAGAGAAAGCTCTGGGTTGCAATTGGTTTAGAGGGGCATATGTGATTTGTAAACTTCCTGGGGCCACAAGCCCCTTTTAGATAATAGGACGGGCTGGTGTGTAGTACCGAAATGCATATGTTACGGACATTAACGGAATGTTACGAGTCAACCGGGACTAGGGTAGAAAGTTTGACAGTTGGGCGCCATATTATTGTAGAAAATAACTATGAAGTTTTAGACAATTCCTAGTTTGGCTACGGTTCAGACGTTGACGGTAAGCCGTTTGTTTTTATTATCAATCCCTTATTAATCAATTGCAACAGTTTTATGATATTAAGCATATTTACATTTTCCGTTAATTAACATAACAAAATGCCTATTAAGTTATGTGTTAAAGCTATATCGTTTATACTTTCCAAATACTTTTTACTATAAATACTTAACACAAATAACTATTATAACTTCTACGAATTTTATATAAATTTCCAAAGTAACGTTAATTAGATAATTGGGATCCACATAAGTCGTCACCTGTCGTTTTTTGTTTCTACGTCGGTTGCTTGAAACTAAAAAATCTAAGACATCACTGGTTAGAGAGTGTATTTGGTAAAGATTTGTTTGACCTGTAGTGACAAAATTATTCTAATGGTGTTATGTCTTTTGTTCAAAAGTTAAACAATTTTGAGTAAATGGAACAAGTAGGTAAAAACATTTCTTCCAAGACTTTCCAAGGATGTACGATAAAAATATATTTGTTTGTTTGGTTTTACGGTAAACCAACACAATGAAGGTCATATGGCACCGAAACATAAAATAAGAGTTTGGCTAACCTAGTGATAAAGATATGCAACTAACGTTAGACTATAAAATTGTTATTGAACAAGCATAAAATAAACCCTGGTATGCTAGACATACTAATCATAATCATATGCTATGTATCCACACATAAAGAGACATGTAAAGTCACGCACCGAGCCCCCAAATCAAACTCTTTTCACTTAAGGTAATTTTATTAATTTCCTTACTGAAAAAGTTGCAATTGCTTTAGTCAATCAGAAGCTGAAGCAGGTAGCTATTGGGAAAATTCATTTGATGTGAAACAGCAGTTTCTATGCGTAAACGGAGTAAGGTGGCCTTAATATACAGTTCAAGTTGATTACAGTATGGAAAACGGAGGAGTGCAAATCTTACAAATCTTTGACGGTTTTCATGACAAGTCCAACTAAATCAATGCCGGTTTAGGTCGAGGAGATGTTGCCAAAGAATTTACCATGTACCTTTTCCATCCAGATCCAGATTATAGTGAAAACAAAAAAAACCCAGAATTTCCCGTAAAATATGGCGAGATGTCTATAAATATTGAATTTGGGATCCCTTTAAACCGAGAAGTAAGTTGCCTATGTTATACACAGAAAATGGGTCTTATAGAATGCGACGAATTGAGTTTGAAAATCAATCAAATATAAGATAGATATTAAAGAAATGAGATATTTAGATATTGATTAAAAGGAAGGAAGTGATTCTATTTACTTAAACTGTTCATACATACAAAGTTTAACATAAAGTGTTTCATATCAATCGACGAAATGAGAAAGGTTAAAATAAATTAAAAACGCAAATGTATAATGAAAATAGATAATAATTTCATCATTTTACTTAAAGGTGATCATCATATTTTCGTACTAATTTTTATATTTGATCGTGTAGAACAATATTCAGTTAGTTTATTTTTCCTAATTTAAGCATAAATTAAATTATCGGTATTTGCCTTAGTATTACCCTTACAATGTCCGGTATCACAAAGATGTAATAGTTGCAAACCGTTAAGCATGTGCGATTTCAAACCGGAAGTGACGTACCTATATCCCTTAGTTAATTATTGTTAGTTCATGATAACGATATTTAGCTGTGATTATCGTAATATTATTTCAATTTACGTACATATAAGTGTGTATGAACTTAAAAAAATCGTTGATGGCGATCCATTTGTAGTTCACCAATATATGTTTGAACATCAGCCATCGACAAAATGCCTTTTTACCTCCAAAAACGAAGATGATCTCGACGATCCTAGCCCTTGTATAGTGTTCAACTTATTAAGTTAGTTAATTTAACGAAAAATAAACACTACTTACATGTTTATAGCCAACATAAAAATTCACTCCACCCCGACATGAATATATATCTTAAAACAATAACTTTGATTTATCCAACTAGAAATGTCAATTTTCTCTTTTTATACATAATTAAGTACATGTATGTAAGTTCTCGTACTCCCGGTTTTCATCATTTTAGGCTTGAAATTGTATCAGACTAACTGGACATTGGTAGCATTAATGAATAATCATTAGAATATATCTGAAGAATTACGATTTTGATTGGATGATAACCTTAAATTGCACTGACCGCATGACAGTCGTTATGCAATAAAATTGGGCGGGATGTGGTCAGTGCAGTTATATTATTTTCTAATTTCCAATGAAAAAAGGAGTTATCATCCAGATATTAACTTGATTGGATTGAACATAAATTACTTGCAGCTCTGAATGCCCCCTAAATGTTTGCTGACAGCACTTGAACATGTGCAAAACCTAACCATCGCAGGTCATAAATTACGTAACATATCACGCGGCAGGAGGTCAGATCCATTTGTTAACAACGTTTTTACTTCATAATCTTCGTTTCGAAACTAAAACAATAAATATTTTGATGTATCAGCGATAAATATTTACTAAATGTAACTGATTTTTGTCATAAGGGTAATTAAACGAATTGATCTTTGTTAACAAATGGATCTGCATCATATATATCATAATTATTTGATTGATTATTGTCAATCAGAAGCAGGGGAATCCTGCGTTTCATCGATGTCTTGAAGTTTGATAATAACTAATGTTGATTTAGTGACCGTAACTTTAAATCTTTTACTCCCAAAGTTGATAAAGACAGAAAAAACAACAACTTGACAAGTCAGTAGGTTTAGGGATAAGATAATCTTGATGAAAATTGACGGTATAAATACATGTTTGTCTGAGCAGTGGTTTATTCACAATATTTTTTGTTTCAAAGCAATATGACAAGCAATCGCTCGTTACAGTAATACAAAATATCTAAAAGGATATTTAAACCTTGGTTTGATTTTTCTTTTATTTTGCTTTTTACCTTGAGTAAAATAACGATATGCGGAAGAAAATATTCTATGTTAAGCATATTTGCATTTAAAACTATTTAAAATTAAAATAATGCCTGCATAAACAGAAAATTAGAGAAAGACGCAATAATTTATTCCATATAACACCAATTAAGTATGACAAAAGGTAAGTAATTTAGTAAAGTATAATAGTTAAGCTATGAAATTACTTTGAAACAAATATGAAATAAAAAATTATATTATAACTCTTCCTAATGGAATTAAATAAAAGAAAGTAGCAAACAAGTACCAGTAAAGATGTTACCATTCGAGTTTATTTATAACCCATTCAAGTTAATTTATAACCCGAAGTCCTATATTATTACTCTTACACCTTGCACGCCTTTGATGTTTTGTTATGTCTAATTCGTTTCAACATGAATGATCTTTTTTATCTAAAATGATAAAGGCTATCTATAATGTTTAATGGGTCAATAAGGAGCGTATGTCGAAGATTGTTTAAAGGCTTAAGAGCTATATTGAGCGTAATGTAGACAATGATAATCTTCTCAACATTATCGACATAGTTTGCTATCTACAAAAGTAATCGGTTTTAATATATTCAAAACTTTAAAATTGTATTTTGTTGTTATATTTTCTGGTCCTTCGAGATCTTTGATGCCAACACTATAAAGTGTTGAGAATTGAGTACCGCTCAAGCCGGTGCTAGGGGGCTTGAGGGATGTTGCACTTATTCATTATCCCTCATGTACAGACTCAATCAAACCGAGTCTGCAATTCTTATGTCATTTTGTTGTGATTAATGCTTCCGAGGGATCACTTTGTTTCCAGAATTTTGTACTTCACAACAGCAGGTGTCAAGTGCTGTGTGGCAGCTGTAAAAAGTTGCCCCGTACTTCACTTCAGTGTTGTTATATTTTCTGGTCCTTCGAGATCATTGATGCCAACACTATAAAGTGTTGAGAATTGAGTACCGCTCAAGCCGGTGCTAGGGGGCGTGAGGGATGTTGCACTTATTCATTATCCCTCATGTACAGACTCAATCAAACCGAGTCTGCAATTCTTATGTTATTTTGTTGTGATTAATGCTTCCGAGGGATCACTTTGTTTCCAGAATTTTATGTAAATTTCTTGTTATTTGTAAAAGTAATATTGTTAATACCTGGCAAATTAATATTTCAAAATACTTATAACTAATAATCACTTGACTTTCCTCAAATGACTATTGATATGAAATCTTGATTATTGCTAAGAATAGAATATAAATTTCCATGCCAACGATAATAATACAATTGGGATCCATATAACTGGTAACGTTCATTAATGAAAGCAAGAAAGATTTGTATACATCACAGTGTTAAAGAGTGTATTTTGTAAAGATGTGTTTGCCCTGTAGGGACAAAATTATTGTAATCATGTCATGTCTAAGTTTTTCATGTAGATTAATAGATTTTTGAGTAAATAGGACAAATAAGTTTGACTAATCTAGGGTGTAATAAACCTTAAAGCAACACCACCAGGTGTGAAAACCATCTCACCTGCTGAAGCCAACAGATGCATATACTTCATTTGAACCAATTTAGTTGCCTCTTACGATCACGCAGGGATTAACGGTGGCTGCCGTTCTCATGCTTTATCCATTAAAGGCATAAGCGTAATGTAAACATTGGAAGACTCCGTGACATTATCGACATGGTTTGCTATTTTAAAAATTATTGGTTCAAATGGATTCAAAATTTTAAAAATGTATTTTTATGAAAATAACATGTTATTTGTAAAAGTAACATCGTTAATACCTGGCAAATTAATATTTCAAAATACTTATAACTGATAATATTAAATGAGTGGTAAACACTCAAAAAAAACACTTAAAAAAACTATTGATATGAAATCTTGATTACTGCTAAGAATAGAACATATATTTCCATGACAACGATAATAGACAATTCGGATCCATATAACTGGTAACGTTGATTAATTATAATAAAAAAACATTAATACATTACAGTGTAAAAGAGTGCATTTTGTCAAGATTTGTTTGCCCTTTAGCGACAAAAATATTAAGTGTCATGTCTAAATTTTGTAAATAAATTAATAGATTTTTAGTAAATAGAACAAGTAGGTAAAACCATATCTTCCAAGACTTTCCAAGGATGTCGAAAGATATATATTTGTTTAGTTTTTCCCGCGCACCAACTAAGAAAAGTTCATCTAACAGAGAAACAGAACAGTTGAGTTTGGATAATCTAGGTGTAACAAACTTCAGAGCAACACCACCAGGGGGGAAAACTACTTCACCTGCTGAAGCATACAGATGCATATACTCCATTTATTTGAACTCATTAAGTTGCCTATTGCGATCACACAGGGATTAACGGTGGCTGCCGTTCTTATGCAACCCCTCAGCCACAGACAGACGATTAGTATAACAAAACATTCTTTTTACTGCTACATAATATATAAGTTCTCTTTCCTCTACGTATTTAGTGTCGGGTAAAAGGATTTTGAGTATAAGTCTCTCCAGCTCGTCAAACGTTGCATCGGCTCGTTGTCAATAACACCACATTGGCATGCTTCAGTTATTTTACTTACTAGAAAGCGCCACATACCACACTCATTTCTAACCTTGTTCTTGAGATAAAAAATATTTATATGTGTTATCTTCATTTATGTTCTTTACAGTTGATGTTGCTGTAGCCTTCTCAAATTCTGTTCCAATGTATCTTATGATTTTTTAAGATCAGCAGTAAAATTATATTGGTTATTCAATATTATGGTCAATTCTCAAAAGAGTTCTAACATTGAATGTCTCTGTTCTTTAACACTCATAAATATTGTTCGTTTACAGAATAAAATGTTCCGGAACAAAATATGATTTTGTTATTTGTAGTAGGGTTTTATCTGTTAAACAATAATTGTGTGCATGCACCTTTCGCTGTTTAGTACCGTATTCAATTTATTCAAGCTTTTGGGGAGTTTTTAATAAGTCTTACCAATATATAGCTTTATTAACTTAACATATAACTTTGAAGTCTATTTATATACTGTCTGATCTAGAACTATTATCAACGTAAATATGAAGATTATAACTCCATGAAGATTATCCGAGTCGCGATGTATTCCTTCAAGAACAAATAATATTAATTCGAATTTCTAATACAATCAAACATTGTAAGAAAATTTGTTTATTATGACATTTTAGAAAAAAAGAAATAATCTTACCGTGATAATTAAACCTTGCTTTGATTTCAGTCTGTACTATGTTTTGTCCTATTAAGTTGAGTCTACCACCTTAGCGTTACTTAAAATACGATATGTGACAGAGTATAAGTATGTATAGATTACACTATCGAGCTAGCCTTGGTAACTTTTTTTTATTTTTCTTATCACGGGAGGAAAATGCGCAATAAATGCCTGCACAACTAGTAAACAATGACCTTCAAATTTTACATGTTGTCATTGTTATCAGTGCAATCAATGTCTATATACATTTGAACTATTTTGGTTTACTGCCGAATATAAATGAATCCGATGCAATACTTATTAAGGCTTTGTATAGATAATTTATATCCAAATTGTTCGACTTGAAATATGCAACAAACATATATTGATCGAGCACAGTGAAATAAAATCGTAGATTGTAGATTGAAAAATAAGTCAAGTGTATAGAATCCTTTCCACATGCACTTCCAAAAGGAAATACTATACATATTAATGGCTCAATGAAGTAAGTAAGTAAGTGAGTGAGTGAGTGAGTGAGTGAGTGAGTGAGTGAGTGAGTGAGTGAGTGAGTGAGTGAGTGAGTTGGTGAGTGAGTGAGTGAGTGAGTGAGTGAGTTGGTGAGTAAGTGAGTGAGTGAGTGAGTGAGTGAGTGAGTGAGTGAGTGAGTGAGTGAGTGAGTGAGTGAGTGAGTGAGTGAGTGAGTGAGTGAGTGAGTGAGTGAGTGAGGAAGTAATTACTGAGGCTTCACATTTCGTTACACAATAAAGGCACATTCTTTCTTGAGTTTTAATAGCTGAAATTAATGGTTTTAGTGGATGTAAGATGCCTG